CACCAGTCTTACCAGCAATCTGGGCAACAGGACCAGATGTCAGGTGGGGAAGCCACAGTCCCCTGAGTGTGTGTCCAGGCTCAGGCCTTCCTGCAGCAGCAGTGTCATCACCAACGCCTGAAGGTCAACCCTAGCCCAGAAAGCTCACAGCCTCAGCTGAGGTGAGGTGGGAGAGCTGAGCATGGAGAACCAGCTGAGGACAAGGAGGCAAAGAAGGGTGAAGGGGCTCTACAGGAGAACCACTCTATGCTGAGAAGGTTACTTCTGTCTTTAGCCAGTCTTTTTGCATTGCATCATGCAGGAGAGGTATGGGCTGTGCATTTGAGGAAGTGGGTTTTAGCTGAATGGGATAAAAGGGAAACACAAAATGTTCTGGGTTCAGTACCAGAAGTAGACAGAAAGAGAAAGAGGAAATGTTTGTGTCTGTTAAGAAGGATCTTACAAATATAAATCACCCTGTTAGTGTTTACTATTAATCATGGTTTTGTGCAGATGATTGTAAATTGCACAGTGATGATTGTCTCCACTACTTTTTTTAAAGGTCTTGTGGTTAAATAAATAGAACCATTATTTTCTTTATGGTCATGGAGTACTGTGGTAGTACTCTTCATCCACAGGTAAATCTTTGTACATCAGATGCTCTCAAACCACTCAGATACTATAGCTTTAGGCATATGCAGGAAAACCTGTTACCTGGTCATTTTTCAAAGGTAGTGAGAGGGTTTTGCATGGCCCCTTTCTTTATACAATTTGAAGCCAGGAGGACCTATAAATCATGGTCTTCTACATACCCCATCCTATGTAATTTCAGTGGGTAAGTCCCTGTGAAGCTCACCATGTTCAACCAGACAGAAATACTCTGGTCTTGTGCACGGCCGGCAGAGGCAGAGCAGCATCCCTGGTCCTCCGACACTGGGGACAGCAGTGGTGAGCTATTGAATCCAATGCCAAATCTTGCCTGCCAACACTAAACAAAAACACTTCTGGAAAATGACTGCTGTGCATCTTGTTTTCTTTTGAGGCACTTCAATTATGTGATTGCCTTCATGACAGAACATCTTGGTCTCTAGGAAGAAAAGAACATTGTTTCATTTGTTTGGAAAAGTCAGGTATTAATTTTTTTGTTTTGTGATTATCCAGGAAAGTCTAAGCTTCAAAATTTGATTTTAAGACATAAAAATAAAATTTAGGACCTTCCCAGGCAAGTTCTTCTCTCTCTTTCCACTAATTGACTGTCATGATACAGGCAAAGCAAGCTATTGCACCACTCTTCTGTTTAAAGACCATCACCATAGGTATGACAGAAGCGTGTTTTGGGAGATGCTGCGGATTTTTTTCTATTAAACATTACAGAAATATCAGTGACATGACAGGGATCTGCATGGGGAGATGCTGCATAGTTGGAAATGTTCTTCTGGGTAGGTTTAGGACAGCAGAGACAAGCCTTTTTGCCTCAAAATCAGCTGATTCTGGTGTATTCTGATATGGAATAAGACAGGAAAGGTTTTTTGGGAAACAGCAATGAGATGTTCTCGCATACCTTGGGATGCAAGTCCCAGGATGTAATAAACAGGCAAGCTGACAGACAGCAAGCAACCACTGAGAGCTGAGAAAGGTTTACTTCATTCAGGAGGTTTTGGTCTTGAATGACTCAATAATGTGAGTTTTGGAGGTTATTGTGCTGTCTGCAGTGACACCCTGTGGTGATGAAGCAGTGGTTTATCTCTGACCCGTTACTGTTACCTGAGTTCTGCAGTGACTGTCCTGCTGCCTGCAGTCAAGAGCAGGAGGAAGTATACAGCTGAAAGGTAGTTTTTCCTGGTAATAAGATTCCTTATAGATATGAGGTGACAAGTCTTTTGGTGTTACTCTTATAATTTAGCCGTTACTATTCATACTGTTAATATTTCTTATCACTACTACTGATTTCGTATGTGTACTGCCTGGCTTCATCACAAAATAAGTAACTGAAATTATAGTTAAAAATACAGATTGCATGTGAATGTATAGTAAACTGGTTTAAAATTTCAGGAGAAACCATAAAGACTTCCAAGAGGAATGCATCATGTATAAAGAAATCTAGTACTTGTTAACAACTGTATCATCATAGAAGCAAAAAACGGTTTGGGTAGGAAGGGACCTTTACAGGTCATCTACTCCAACCTCCCTGCAACAAGCAGGGACAACTTCCACTACATCAGGTTGCTCAGAGCCCCATTCAATCTGACTTTGTTTCCAGGGATGGGCATCCACCACCTGTTCATGTTTCACCACCCTTATCATAAAAAACTTCTTCCTCAAATCTAGAATCTACCCTCTTTTATTTAAAGCCATTACCACTTGTCCTATTGCAACAGGTCCTGCTAAAAACTCTGCCCCCATCTTTCTTAAAGGCCCCCTTTAGGTACTGAAAGGCTGGTACAAGGTCTCCCTGAATCCTTCTCTTCTCCACCCTGAGCAATCCCAAATTCATATTTTGTGTATGAGTTTTCTTCTGTTATGGAGCAGAGTACCCAAAGTGTGGATTCTTTTCTCAAGGACAGATGATTTCCACAGGACTTACCAGCATTAGTGTCTGACTTGCCTTTTTCCTTTTTTTTTTTAATAAAACCCTATTTGAAATATGTACTCTCAGAGGTTGTTGTGGGAATAAGACAGACAGACTGCATTTAACATAAGGATTTGCTTAGCCAGAAGGGAGTACTTGACCTAGTGTAAACCAGGCAGCATGAACTGCCTCCCTGATTTCAGCCCAGGTCTGTTTCTTCATCCTTCCCTTGTTTAGCATCAAATGCATTTAGTAACAAAAAACAAAAACAAAAAAACCCAAACAAATAAACAAAAAAAAAGGTTGGTTTTGTTTTTTTTTTTCAGTTTTACTAGAAACACTAAAAGTTGTTAGGTATCTCATATGTTCTCTGTTAATGTCATAATTGATTTTTGAAAAGTTAGTTGTTCTGTTGGCTTTTCAAATCAGCAAAATACTAAGGTCAAGCCTTTTAAAAGCCACCTGGACATGATTTAACTGATGATCCAGTTAGCCATGCAAATATATGTATCTGCAGGAGAAAACAGAGCTCTGTGCTTTCCAGCTCAGTTTGGAAACTGCAGCCACACTAGGCCTGAAGGCCTCCCCCGGAGAAGTGATGGTGTGTTCCCATCAGTGTAGTATATTCAAAACTGTGCAACACTTCCAGAGAAGTGTTTTCAACCAGCCTTCCACCACTGGTGATTTGTTTGGCAAGGAGGTTTGACTAGAGCTGGTGAGCTAAGCCAAACCCATGGTAATTGGGAAAACATGATCTAGTTGAAAGGCTGAATCTGGGTAAGAGGCAGTGGGATGGAAGATTGTAATAGAGTAAGTGTTTAAGAAAGACATGAGGAAAAAGAACATTATCACCTCACCCTCTGCCTTCTCCAGCAGGCTCCATCTCTACCTGCAAGTCCCACCAGCTGGAACATTAGCTGAAATGAGCTAGAAAGATATAGATAACTTCTTGGCACCGTGAAGGAATTTACTGACTTAGAGTAAAATGCAGCTCTTGTCTTGAAGGGACTTGATGGGAATATTACCTCTTTTCCTAAGCCTTATCTCTATGTCCCCCTAAACAACAGCTGTTAAGAGTGTAGAAATTTGGCAGAAAATAAACTCCTGTCCTTTCCAACTCCCCCTCAGAGATCAGAGGGGCTGGATGTGGCCAGGTTAAATTTCTGACTATAACCAATTTGGCACTGTCAGTCTGGTTGTGTTCAGCAAGATCCCAAATGCACATTACACTGTAAGTTTGGTCTCATTTGCGACCACAGTCACCGATAGTGCAGTTTATTGAAGCAACAGGTTATAGATCCTTGTTAGATTGCCAGTGATCAGTTCACTAGGCCTACAAAATCTAAGTGTGGAGTGCTAGGTACAAGTGTTCCTGGGTATGCTACAGCACAGGTGGAGATGCAAATCTTACTGAAGAGACATTCCTGCTTTAGGAAGAGAGAGGAGCAAGCCTACTGACTAGTCTGCATGGTGGTCCTATTTTCATCCTCTGCCATGGCCATGGAGGATTTCAAATGTCAATTTAGACTTTCGGGAGAAGTGTTATTGCCATTATAAATGGTGGGGTGGAGCAACCACTTTGTATGTAAAAGAGGAAATCTGAGAGTTAAAAGGAGAGACTACAAAGGCTGTGGGTCTTGCTCAAAGGAGCAAGACCTTCCTCCTCTTCCACTTGATCAATTGCAGAGATAAAGGTTAATCTGGCCTCTACCTGGTAACCCATCACCCCCATCACCAGCCCATCACGCCCATTGTAATCCCTCCACTACATATCTAATGGCATATCTCATGGAAATCCCTTTACCAGGTATCTCATGGCTGTAGGCCTCATTCCTATAAACTGGTGACTCATCGTAGCTTAGATTTGATTTTGTTTTGCTCTATGTTAAAGACTATTGGAAAAGTTGTACAGTAATATTCCTTTGAAGGACCAAGAATCAAGACCAGAACCTATTAAATCTAAGAGAAGAGCGAACTCTGTGACAGGACTTTTACACAGCAAAATAACTAAGAACTCAAGGAACATCCTTATCCCCCCTTACTTCGAAGCAGATGAACAGAAGTCCTGTCAGTCATTTACATAATATAACTGTGCAGATGTTGTAATTCACAACCTACATGAACTGAGTTAAAATAGACCAATCCTCTCTCACAAAACATTTCTATAAAAGAGTGAAAAGATTCCTCCTATCCAGCATGCAGTCATTAGGGATGTCTAAATTTGCCTCCTCTGCATCCCTTCTGAACCTGCATTAGCCAGGTCTCAATCACTGCTCTACTCTTATTACCTGGCCATATGGCATAGAATGCTTTAAAGGGGCTTCTTTTCAACTTCAGGTGGTAAGGAGAGAAAAGGTACAGGAAAAAGGAGGAAAAGGGACATAATCAAAGTTACAATTAATTTGCAAAAGCTATCAGATCCTAAACAAATAACATACATAGAAAAGCATGATACAATTTAGGAAACAGTATTTAATTTAAAAAAGAGTACCAAATGCCTCTGGAAGTGAACATCAATTTGCTAACATTTTTTATGCTACACAATTTGAAGAGTTTCAAGTCTGGTTTTGCAAGCACCCTATAGTCATTTAGTATTCTGTCTTCCTCTGATCTTAAAGAGACTGCTACAAGCTGAAACATAAGCAGAAACATTTTACAACTTTGTAGAAGTCTGTTTCACAGCATTCAGAGTCAAGAAATTAACTATTTGTTAACATATTTTAGCTAAAGTTTTGTAAGTAACTCAAATTGATATTAAAGAAGTTAAATTTCTCCAGTGCCACAAATCTAGGCTTTCACACAGATTACATGTGATAAACATGTAGCACAGAGCAAACACACTCTTATTTAAGGCCAGAAAGAGGAAAACAGACTGTTCAGAATGCAGACTTCGTTTTGCATTGATACAGCCCCAAATATGCCCAAACAGCTCCACCCTTTAGGGAGCTGCAGAAAAAGAGATTTTGGAAGACTGGTCCCTTAGGCACTCAGCTTCAAGGTCAGAATACAACATTTATTTTGAAACAGCTACCAGCTTGATGTAATTGCTTTATCTAATATTCCATACATAAAGTTAAAAAATTATCAGGAAAAACTGACTATATTCTAAACATGCTTCCTACTTGTATGTAAAAAAACGAAATGGCTGTTTTCCACAGCTTATGCACAAAATTATAAAAATAGTTTAGGTTAAGTTATAACCTAAACTTCAAGAACTTAAGTTAAGACGAAATGTGTGACAACACTATTATATAACCATAATTAATACACGTATCACATTCTGAATCTTCTTTGTAAGATATGAAACCAAACTATTTACAAGAACTGTTTTTCTCTGCCCCTTCAGCAAAGTGAAATGTAGCACCAAATAGTTCTGATAAACGGTGTGATCTCTCTTCAGGCTCCCCTTCCTAATTTTTTGCGATGCTCAGAGCACTACTTTGAAATCTGCCTGTGCTTCAGTTACTCAAGTTTGCATTTCTAACACAGCCATACTATGAAATACTTCTAATAACGGACATATCTAACTTTGAGATAGTTCGTTGTGCCACACACAGTAGTAAACAGTTATCAAAAGTGGTATCTTGTACTAACACTGCATATAAATTGCAGATAAATACATGAACTGCAAAATTATTTTAGGAAGGGAAATAAAATTCTTTGGTGAGCATAGAGACAATACATGGAATCTGTTTCTTTGCATTAAAATCTTGTCGGGTTGAGCAGGACTCATACTCTGCCACTCTGCGATTTACACGAGTTAGAATCTGCATGAGTTCAAGTTTCCTTGCATGTTCCTTCAGCATTTTACACAGTGACTGAATAAACCAGGAGCCTTCAGCTGAATTCCTCCAGGAGTAATAGCCTGTGGAAGAGAGCAATGTCAAAGTGATCAGATGTAGCAGCCTTTGACACAGGACAGGTTAGCAATTAGGGGAACGACGCATTGTTTCCAATAGCAATCAATGTTGTAAAATAAAAACTCAAAACCACCAACAAACAAAATTTAGATTCTTCAAATTCCAACTCAAAAGATTTTTCTAATCCTCTCATGTTTTATAATCTAAGAAAACTTTAAGTAGGTAGACAATCAAAAGGCAGGAAAACTATCTTCTGCTGCAACAATCTTAGCCATTGATCACTTACTACTTCACAGAGTACATGAACACAAAGGAGGTGACAGTACAGATGGAGCCAAGATGCAGAATGGATTTCAAGGGCTCTGCCCCTACTAATTTTGCTTAAGGATGCTACGTAAATAGAGTTGATAAGCAAACAATACACTTGTGTTTATCCACCTCTGCATATCTGATTGCTTTGCTTTCTCAGAATAATACCTTTTCCTCCTGCTGCAAATTATTTGTACAACCCTGATTAACTCAATTTCCAGCAGATGAACATTTGAGGATTTGATAGGGAGAAAGATGTATGTTCAGGGTTTGGTGGCGGTTTTGTAGGAACTGAGAATAGCAACTACCTCAAAAAGAAATCAAATCAGTGTAGAAAAAGTGACTGAGAGAAGGAAAATCATACTTTCATGAAAGAGTGTATTGGGTCTGTCTGAGCTGGAGTTCGTTTCCTCACAGCAGCCCTCACAGTGCTGTGCTTTGCATTGGTAGCTAGAAAGGTGTTGGTAACACAACACAGTTCTGGCTACCGCTGGACAGCACTGGCACAGCATCAGCACTGTCTCTCCAACCTTCCCCCTGCCCCACCATTAAGCTTAGGGGGGGACAAAATCTTGAGAAAGCACACAACTAGTAGAGCTGACCCAAACTGACCAAAGGGATATTCCATACTAGTGAAGCCACCCACTGACTGGATACAACTACAAATTGTAATTTTTAGCACCAACAGAGGCTCACATATAGACACAGTCTCCCACCTGGAGCTGTAGAATATGCATACAGGAAGTCTGCTTCTACAGGTATTTTTTGACACACTGTTTCTTCTGATCCACTGTCTGTCTCAATACCGGAATCTAATTCGGTCCCTCTACAAGCCTATTTGGTGGAAAGAAGAATGGAAAATAAAATTAAAAATAAAGAAAATAAAGGCAGGGATCATGATCAGAATATTGATTTTTTTCATGTTTTCAAGATGGCAATATCTTGATTAAAAAACTGCAAAAATAAAACCAATTTATGTATCACATTTCCATTAGACTGACTCAGAAGAAAAGTAGCTAGCATTTATTTAAATCAACTACACAGTTTGGATAAGGTAGACATTCATTCAAAATTATATTCAGAAACTCTTTAAAATACTGGCTAAGTTTTTACTTAATCCGCAATCTCATCTATTACAAATACTATCTACCTAATAGGGCACATTGTGCCACTTTTAGACCTGAAAAGAATCTTATTCCAAAAGTAATTCCACTTAAATCAAATTTAGAAAGAATTAACTTTTATGCACTAATAATTAGTGGGAAGCAGTATTTTTTGAAGTATCTGACTGATTTGATGATCACTGTTCAGCTGTACATCACCTGAATGAAAAAGAGCTTGGGTTTTCCTGCTAAACTTCGGCACCTGTCACCTCTGAAAAGGCTTGTTAGTGCTTTCAGTTCAAGAGGGCCATCTGTACCATAGATTAGTCCTTCATCACCATGGCTTAGCAACACGCAAACAAAACTGCTTCTCTTGCTGTGATCTTCTTCAGAAACTTGAGAGAAAAAAAGAGAATTACCTTAACTTCCTGCATTCCCTAAAAATTTGGAACATTTGATCCTTCCTACGTGACTGAAATCTTTAAGAACTAATTCCCATGTTTAGAAATGTCCAACCAGTTTTCACTTCTGAACAAAATAAGTCTGCCTACTTTACTTATGGATGTTGGACACAGAAAACCCCAAATTAAAGGCCTACCCCACAGAACTAGGCCAGGAATACCACGGGGAAAGAGAGTGTTTCGAAGACAAACCTCACTCATTCAGTAATCATCAGTCTTGTGATCTGGGATTGGACCGATGTAAAGTTCTGAGTTTTGGGAAAGGATGGAGAAATCCGACTTCTCTCTCCTTCCGACTGGAGATGCTTCAACTACTTGGATTACGTGGGAACTGACTGTAGCATGAAAACTGCTGCTACTGCAGGGACCTAGGTACTAGCAGTACCCCTCTCCTCTCATTTTTGACTTGTAGCGCAGTCTAGAAAGATTTTTCAAGCCTCTTTAAATAAAACATTAAGACACTTAAGCTTGATATAAAGTGTCTGTAGATTTATACTTTTTTTCCCCTCCATCTAGTGATAGACAAAGAGCATAACATAGATATTCTCCAGTGTCTTTTGTTGCCTGACATCGTGGAAATTGTACTTGAGGGCCAAGATGATTCTTTTGAATTTATGAAAAGATGCAAATGTGGTTTAAAAGAAAGGATCCAAAAGAAACTCTGAGTGGTAACGCAAGAAGATGCAAGGGTTTGTACATGAAAAATGTAACAGCCTGTAAAGCTGAAGTTTTACTGTTTACTGCCAAAAAAAACCACCAAAAAAACCAACCAACCAAACAAAAACCCAAAACCCCCCAAAAAACAAACAAACAAACAAAAAAGAAAAAAACACAAAACAAAACAAAAAAACCCCACAAGACCAGGACTGCTGCAAGCTAACTGGCTGTTGGGAATAATCACTGGATGACTTTTACTGTTGAACTGAGATCTGAAAGAGTCTCGGAAAGCACTAGTAGGCATGAGTCACAATCAGAGCAGAGAACATTCCAACGGTTAACTAGAATAGGCTGTGCTCCAGGGCTACCAATACCTCCAGGCACCATTTAATTTAAGTGTCTAGATGTAGCCAAGTCCAAACAAAGCAGAACTAACACAGTAGTATAAAGCTCTCACTTGGGAGAAGGGTGTTTTGTTTCACAAGTTAGACAAAACTTGAGTTGTTTCTCTAGAAGAGTAACTCATTCCACACACCTGCAGTTCTGGTCCCTCAATCAGAACCCCTCTTGGGCCACACCACTAAGCATGTAGCACAGACCCCCTCTACCCAGTCAAGCAGGTTTCTTTCCAACTCACAGAGCTTCAGTGATCCCAGGGTCAGAATATAAATCAGTCTGCATTTAAGGTTCAGCCTTTTTTCCAGCCTTCTTTAGAAGACGAGATAGGATACGGAGACAACAGTCATGGCACAAAAGATGGAGAGACAGCAAAGATGAATAAACATAGAAACTATGACGTACATGTCATCCTAGCAATAAACCACTGGAAGGTGTGAAATGTCATCTAAAAGAACCATGTAGGAAGAGACGTGAGGGCTCGAGATGTATTTGGAAACAGTGGCTGATTTAACACACACACTGAACACATTATTACTTACCTTTTTTCAATAGTTTAAAAATGTCCTCACATGAAAGATCATTGTTGATCTTTATTTTATATCCCAATTTCATGAAAACCTCTCTGACACTTGCAGCATCTGCATCTGTACCCGAACGGGGTAGCATCCCTATACATAAAAGAAATGTGTTATATTTTTATATGATACAGATGGCATGGTCTGATTGAGCCAAATTCTTTTCTCATTTATACTGTTTCAATCTGAAATACTCTATTATTCCAGATCCATTCTAACAGAAAAACATTGTACTGTTACACATGCACACCATCTCCCACTCTCTGTACTTGTATTGTAGATTTATCTACATCTTATTTTTATATCTACCTATCTATGTAAGGACATAAAAAGAATTTTATTTGCAAAATAGAATTCATGACTTAAAGGTAAGACAGACTTGTACCGCCTATCAATTTGTCTCCTTGTTACTGCTATACCCTAATGTGTTCCCTCTCGGCACATTTGGAAGAATGCACCGAAATGAATCACACCCATTCAGATGACCTAATTTTAAACTGCAATCAAAGTTGGCCTGCATATTTAATTTTGAAGAATAACACATGGCACTAATTTATCTAAATTGCGGAAAAAAAATTAAAAAATTGAAAGTAGTACCAGTATGTCTGTGGAAGTTCTTATTGTTTATTATTATACATTCCCCCATTTCTGGATAATCCATTCTGTAACTGTAGTCTGGCAGAATTCCAGAGTCCATAGACTTGCTAGCAGGTAGGTTCCTTCTGCACAGAAACCAGACAAAATTTAGGTGTTAATTCCTGATCTCTCTATTTTCAAAACAGCAACACCACCACCACCACAATAGGTTATTTTAGCAAACCAAATGAAACTGGTAATGTTTGCTACTTTCTCTCTAGAAGTTCCCTCAGCAAGTTTGCTGATGACACCAAGATGAATGGGTGTGGTTGATACTCTAGACGAAAGGGATGTCAGCTAGACTTGAGAGGTGGGCCTGTGCCAACCTCATGAAGTTCAACAAAGCCAAGTGCAAGGACCTGCACCTGGCTCAGGGCAATCCCAAACATGGATACAGGCTGAATAATGAGTGGATTGAGAGCAGCCCTGAGGAGAACTGGGAGGTACTAGTGAATGAAAAACTGAATGAGCTGTCAATATCCACTTGCAACCCAGAAAGCAAATTGCACCATGGGCTGCATCAAAAGGAGAGTGGACAGCAGGTCCAGGGAGGTGATTCTGCCCCTCTGCTCTGCTCTGGCAAGACTCCACCTGGAGCACTGCATCCAGCTCTGGGGTCTCCAGCATAAGAAGGACATGGACCTGTTGGAGTGAATCCAGAGGAATCCATGATGAAGATGACTGGGGGCTGGAGTACCTCTCCTAGGACAGGCCGAGAGAGGTAGGGTTTTTCAGCCTGGAGAAAAGGCAGCTCTGGGGAGACCTTTCAGTGGCCTTTCAGTACCCAAAGGGGGCCTACAGGAAAGACAGGAGGGGCTTCTGACAAGGATGGGTAATCACAGAACAAAGGAGAATGCCTTTAAACTGAAAGAAAGTAGGGTTAGATTAGATATTAGGAAAAAATCTTTATTGTGAGGGTGGTGAGGCACTGGGATAGGTGCCCCAGAGAAGCTGCACATGCCCTACCTCTGGAAGTGTTCAAAGCCAGGTTGGATGGAGCTTTAAGCAACCAGGTCTAGTGGAAGGTGTCCCTGCCCACGGCAGAAAGGTTGGAACTAGAGGATTTTTAAGGTCACTACCAACTCAAATCAGCCTATGATTCTAAGTTACATCTGTGAAATCAGTTGGTAGATTTAAGTGAAGACTGTACTTGCCCAGAGGTTAAAATGAATGAAGCTGCTTTGTACAGTTAATGCTCCCAAATAAAACTTTTGTTTCGGTTAAAATGTGCACATACACAATGAATTTTAATAAAAAAGTAAAGTGTTATCTCTATTTGTAGTAACCTCCTGAGTAATTTGTAACAAGCTTAAAATTTAGAATCAAGGAAGAACTGTGTTTAAAGTTATAATGCCTCTGCACAGTAGAATATGAAAACTTAGCTTAAGGATGCCAGTTATTATATCAACAAGGAATCAGTTGGGGTTTTTTTACTATCCTCTTTTGAAAGCCATGTACCTGGAGCCAAGGTTAGCTCTGAAAATGCAAATGTGTTCAGAATTCTAACCCAAAGCCATATTATCATTGAATTTTCACAAGTAAACATTCAAAACCTAAAAGATGTAGCAGATATGTGCTCCTTTTCTGCTTAAGCAATAGCCACCAGTAGTAGTCATAATGGCTGCATCTGGATGAAGCTGCACTTTGGGGAGACAGATAACACAGTAGCTAAGGGCTACATCCCAAAACATGGCTGGTATGCAAATATGACTGTAAGTCAATTATCTTACTACATATACAGCATAAAGCCCAGGGCCTCCTGAGCTCTCCTGCTTGGCAGTGGGCTGCACACCAGGATCTCCCCTTCAACAGGGACGCCTCTCAAGATTACTCCTTGAGGCTGAGAGATTCCTTGCTGCAACAGATTCTTGGTAAGTAATTGATAGCAAGCTAAACTAATCTAAAAGTCTAGCTAAATGATTTAAATGATTGGTTGTGCACATACAATCCTTTAGACATAAGCTGTTGACCAAGTCTGGGACTAAGTCTGGATCCAGTCACACCCAGGCTCCCCTCTGATAAGAAGTTTAGAACGCAAGGAGGTCCTTTCTGAACCTCGTGACTCAACAAGAGAGTCTCTCCTTTTCAGTTCCTTGTACATGCATGTGGCCTGCTCTGTCAGACACTGTACATTTTCAAGTCAATACAACTCTAACAGTTGTTTATGACAGCTGTGACAATTATTAAAATTTACCATAATTGAAACTTTTCTTCTTAGCACTATTTCTTCTATGACTCTTGCCTTCTGTTGCAGCACAAGATTCTTCAAGACTTAAATTGAAGACTTAACCCAAAAGTACCTCACTTACCCTTTGAAACCTGGAACAGATTTTGCATCTGTCAGATCTCCCCCCAGATGTGGTCCATCTCTGATGTCTGCCATTGTGCCTTTCAATTATCAGCTTGAAAATGTAAGAAAATAGAAATGTTATGACAGTTCACAGAGTAACTTTAGCCTAGGAGTATTAGCAGACAAAAAAAATAGCATCTCTGAGTAATTCCTACATATTTTATCTTTGAAAGAAGAACATGAAATATTTTTCTAAATTATTGCATTCTAAAAGAACTCTGGGAAAAACAGTCAGACCAAATCATTGAAAAGGCCTACAAAAAGCAGGCTACGAGACAAACAAATTAAAAACAATCTTTAAAATATCGCAATGTTCCTACATGCGCTAGAAATTGAGAACCAAAAATCAAGCAGTACAAGTTATTGGACATGTGCAAAAATTAACATAGAAGATTAGATTTTGGTTCATAGTATTTTGAGAAATGAGTAATTTCTCTGCATTCTGTTTGAAATGAAACATCGTTGCATCCCATTCTAGTTGGTGTATGTGAAGGCAATTGCAAAATAAATTACATAAAACCATAACAATATAACTTCAAATAGTTTATGAAATGAACCTTATTCTATGGGCTGCTATTTACTTTTATCAGAACGCAGGACAATAAATTAAGATGGATACCAAGTCAGAAATCAGTGTAAAAGTATTAAAAAACCTCCCCCACAACTACTCTGTGTGTATTCATGGAACACATTACCAAAAGTTACCTTAAGCTCAAGTTTCGTAAAACAGTTAACCATCATAAATTTCAATCACCAGACAGGACAAAGTGATAAATGCTTAGAAGTGCTTAGACCTCAAGAAACAAACAAGGTATTACAAGGCAAGAATTTAACAAACTTACTTAGCAGATGTATTTAACAAACTACTTAACAAACTACTTCGCAGATATATTTATGGTAAGTAGAAATGCATACATAACCAGACCAAGTAGTAAGGTTTGCTGGTCAGATATGATGAAGATTCTTATTAAAGGCTTAAGTTCTTTGGTGGCAAACTATATTTGCCACCTTCCATCATCATAATATTATTATATTAAGTCTCAACTTCATATCTACAGAACATCAGAAACATCCATTTTCTGTGGCAATCATTATTGATGCATCAGAAGCACTAATCTGGTTATGTATAACCTTCTTTCTTTCCTTGTTTCTTACAAGACATTTACTTACGTTTTTAGTGACTTCAAAAGACCTTCAGGGTTATTCTGAATACTATTTCTTTGTATATTGGAGCACCGATGTAATTAAGAAATCTTGCTCACCAAATTATTCTAGACTTGAGAACTGTATTATGTAATGCAGCAAACAGGAAACTTCCTGAAAACCAAATTGCACAAGTATTAAATGAGCTCAGTATTTTAGAAATAAAATGTATAAAATACATTCTAGAAATTTAGAAATTTACTTTAAAGACAGTATCATGGGGCAGGAACTAAAGCAACAATGACAAACTTGCCTGCTTAGCACCATGATCTGGATTCATTCATCCTAACTGCAAAGTCTAATTCATTAAAACTTCCCTATGAGGAAAAAAGACAAGCACTTCCAAAGGTTACCTATGACCTGGGGCCTGACAGTGATCCAACCCTATGCCTTATAATTGTGCACTGCCAATAAAATCTAATTTATGTGATAACTGGTGTGTCCACCCAGCTCTAACTGAAGAGTAGAGCTTCTGATCCCTGGGAAGCAGAAAGAATGGCTTCCATTGACAAGAACACTGGAGTTCTCCTGCTTCTGCACAGCCCAGTTTCCAGGAGTTTCTCTGCTTTTTTTTCAACCCTCTCCCTACCACAATCATCCTTGGCTTTGGTTTCCAGCTTTCCTGAGGTCTCAGCCTGACACTTTTGAGCAAAATTTTAATTGTAGGAAAACATCCCACCAGACTGACCCACAATTCTGATGCAACTCAATGCTGTTCCTTCTTCTGGAGAAGGAGCTTTTTTGAACTACGTGCAAAAGCACAACCCAAACCCTTCACTGTGAATGGATTAATGGGAGAGACAGGGAAAAGGTTTACTTCCTTCCTCATTTGTTCTTTTGTCTACCAACAGTAATGAACAACTACACCATATAAAAACAGCACATATCATGTACCAACTCTATCATTGAAACCTGCCAGCAGGTGTGCTGACAGCAGTGTAGCCCTATCAGCACAGAAATCAGCTTCTGCTAAAACCCCAGGTGTTTATCCCAGCTGTTTGACACTGCAAAGATCTGCAGTGCCGGCACTGCAAGTACATGAAGCACAGAGTGTAAACCAGTAAATGTGTGCCTGCATGAGCTGTGGTCAGCTCCTCTCCATCATGTGAGCCAACCTGGGCTACCAAGAGCTACTTGGAGAAAAATTCACCCAAAGTATAGGGCAAGCTAACAACTCCGGCCAATAGATCAGATCTTGCAGTAACTAGGTAGGGTAAGTGGATCACTAGGCTGTCTTGAGTTCACATCAGATGTGCTCCAACCAAACTGCTGCATCCCTTTAGGCCCTGGTTTTAGTAAGCTGGTTTAGTAATGGTGAGATTAGCACTGGTGAACAGCAGCAGACTTAAGAAAGCAAACCGGAGACCTAACTGGCTGCAAGTACTGAGTGCTTCTACAGCATAAATGTTAAAGCATGCTGCAAACACTAAGAGAGATCTGCAACATTTAAGTGCTCTTAAATTATGACTAAAACTGCTGTAATTGATCCAATGCCAAAGAAACAATGAAACTGGAAAAATTAGCTAGCAAAACCTACAATTACAATAAACTATAGTACTTTGCTTCTGAAAAATGTAAAACACATTTTGTAATACCAATCATAAAAACATTTCTTACTGAAGCCTCTGCAAGCCTAGCTTGCAGCCTACAGTTTCAACTGTTTAATGAAGTGTTAGAGCTCACTGCATTCTACTTCATCACAATTGGAGCTTGTCTAAGAGACTTTACAGAAGTTAGAGAGATTGTCTAGAAAGGTTGGTTATAACTCGTTAGGAATTGAAATTCGCATGCTTTATCTTCATAATAGAATCTGTTACTCACCTTTAATATCCATCAATTTCTGATCACCTTAAGGCACCAAGTCATCTGCACTCGTTTAAACAACAAAAGACATCCACAAGGAGGTGTCTTTTGTTGCTAGGCAGTCAAATGCACATTTTAACCAGTAGCATGTTTTCTGCTCTAAAGCACCGGTCAGGGTAACAGCAGTGCTCTCTAGAGGATGATGCTGATTCTAACAGACTAAGAATTGCCTCATCTTGGTTTAGGTAATGCAATGATGCCATCCTCTTTCAAGCAGAATGCACATTTCCCTATGGAGGATGATCTCATCCTATTAGGGATGGCAGGGGTCCGGGAAGGGGTGAGGGGAGTAGGAATCACGACAGTACATAAGAATTTAATGAAAAAATGTTATTGTTATCCTTGACATTATTTTCTCTTATGCAATATGAATTTTCAACTGTAAGGAAATGTAAAAAACAAGTAGCTGAAAAGAGCAACAGCATTTTTGTAATCCAGCAGAATATAGTCTGTAGGTTTTAGGAAGTTTATTTTCCAATACTTCATCTTAAAAAAATATTTTAAAAATCCTATGACACAGATACAATGATTATAAAGATGATGCTATGATGATCTTTACAGCTACTAAGTAGTAAAAAACAAAGTGGTTCAAATGGGTCCAAAGCTATGCTTAGAAAGCTAACAAAAAATGACCTATGTCTCTCTGTATAGCAATAAAAGAAAAAATATTTTTTCCTTCTATAAATGTAGTTGTTACAATGCTTTTCTTTTGATAGAAAAATTATATATAAAACAATTTTTTACTCCCTTCCAGCCTGGATTTACTTACTCTTCCTGGACTTAATGAAAATAAATTCACATCCTCATGTATCACCACTGCCATACAAAACATCAGGTTTCTTTTTAAGTGATATTTATTTGAAATGAGAACCAACAAGTCAAATGAATGATACAGTGATAAAATAATACCAAAGCTTCTCAGATAGGGAAGGAAGCAAATAACTGAATTGCAGACCAGGAGAGACAAGACAACACATGTTCAGTATATATCTGCTGCTACAAAGCAATGATTGTAGCAGTATTAAAATACATCTCCAAAACAGTCATCAGTATTTAAAACATGTCCTTAATGATTACAAAAGGGCACTTTTCCACCTCACATGACTGCAAGAGAAAATGTCAAGCATTCAAAGAAGATATTTTATGTACATAAACATATATATGACATATTGCAATAATTTGCATGCAGACAAGCAAATTGAAATGTTTCCATTCTACAATGTATAATGCTAACCAATAATTATCTGATTAATAACATAAGAAAAATATAGAAGCTGTCTACATGAAAAACCAAAAAGCATTTGCAATATACCATTATATTTTCCATGTGACACTATCCCCCCTACTAAATACTGCTACCATCGATGGAAGCATGACAATTCTGTGACCACCCTTCCCATTACTTTGGTCTGGATATGGAGTTGGAAAGCCCTGACACTGGGCCAGCACCCTGATCAAAGCAAACAGACTTTTACTTAGTCAGCACTAAGCTGCAAAATTAGCAAGAGCTGAAATTATTCCGAGTGTAGATGGGACCCTTGCATATTAATTCACCAATACCAATTAATCACATCACCAACGCAATAGGCAATAGCCTTATCGGGCTCCTTAACATTAAGGGCACGATGTGTTAGTCCGAAACCTACCATCTGACAGGCGGGTAACTGAAGGCGAGAACTATGAGTCAGAGGGTAAAAGACTACATCAGAAAAGGTTAGTCATTGTCTGTCAGGGTCTCAAACTAACTTCCTCCAGCACTGGCAGGGTCGGTACACACGAGGTTTAACCCGCTTTGTTTTGGCAGATCCAGATGCAGGCTCTGACCCTGTTTCCGGTTAGTTAACGGTCTACCGAGGGGGACACCAGAGAGCAGCTTAGAGCTAAAGCGCTTTTTTTCCCCTCTCTTCTTTTTCTCCTGTTTAGTTTGTTTGTTTGTTTGTTCGTTTGGGCAGCTTCTCCACATAAACAGGCTGAAAGGGACCAAACTGCCTACCTCAAGCCTCTGAAAAACTCACAGCCGAGGTGCCGCGCCCTCCCCCGGGCAGGGTGAAGCGGCGGGGCCGGGAGAGCACCGCGGCCGCTCTGCCGCCTGGCCGGGCGGGACGGACCCCCGCCCGCAGCGCCGCCCGCCCCGCCGGGCCCTCCGTGCCGGGAGCCCCGCGGGGCGGCGAGGCGGCGCTGGGAGCCAGGCCCGCCCCCGGCTACACGCCCCTGCCCTTCTGCCCCTCACAGCCGACCTCCGCCGGGGGGATGCGGGCGGCCACGCGGGGCTGGAGAGCCACAGCCCGCTCTACCCCACCCCCCCGCCGCTTTGTTTGGCCCCGGCACCGCCGCGCCCCCATCCCTGCCGCCGCCAGCACCCACCGCCTCTGCCGCCCGCCCGCCAGCTCGCTCACTCGGCGCTGTGCTCCGACCTGCCTTCCCCTGCGCTCGGCTGGGCTGCGCTGGACACGGCTCGCTGCCGACGGAGCCCCGCGGCCGTAGGCCCGCCCGGCCCGGCGCTGGCTCCTCCCCGCGCAGGGCGGGCCGCCCGTCCCGATGGCGGCGGCGAGCGGCGGGGGAGGTGAGTCGGTGCCGGCGGGGAGCGGCCTCGGGGGCTCGGGGAAGGCGGTCCTGCCGTGCGGGGCGGCTCCCGGAGCCGAGGGGAGGCGGTGCGAGGCCAGGCTGAGCCAAGGAGCCGTGGGGTCGGGCCGGGCCCCACGGGTGCGCTCCGGAACACGGTGGGACGCTGAGCCACCGCGCCCCGCGGGCTGTGAGCGCTGAGGGGGAACTGCTGCGCTCGCTGCTCCTCGCTTTGAGTGGGGTGACCCAAACCCCCGCTAGGTTTGGTCTGTTGTTTCAGTTCCTCCGCCTGCTGAGAGAAATGTAGCATTCTGGTACGTTTGCACCACGTTGGTGCGGCCTCATCTTGAGTACTGTGTGCAGTTTCGGGCGCCACAATGTAAGAGAGATATTAAGCTGTTAGAGAGCGTCCAAAGGAGGGCAACGAAGATGGTGAAGGGCCTTGAGAGGAAGTCGTATGAGGAGCGCTGAGGGCACTGGATCTGTTCAGCCTCATCATAGTCTACAACTTCCCTGTGAGAGGAAGCTGAGGGACAGGCACTGATGCCTTTTTTTCTGACAACCAGTAAAAGACCCGAGGGAATGGCCTGAACTTGTGTCAGAGGAGGTTTAGGTTAGGTTATCAGGAAAAGATTTCTCACCCAGAGGGTGGTTGGGCACTGGAACAGGCTCCCCAGGGAAGTAGTCACAGCACCAAGCCTGACAGAGTTCAGGAAGCGTTTAGATGATACTCTCAGTCATGTGGTGTGGTTCTTGTGTCTGGTCCTGTGCAGGGTTAAGGGTTGAATGATTCTTATGGGCCCCTTCCAACTCAATATCCTGTGATTCTGACAGAATGGTGGTTTGTAAAGGAAGTAATCTGCGGGGACGATTACCAAACAAGCAACCACCTTCCAGACCTCAGCATGCGAGATCCTTATGGGTGTGCTGGCCTGTACTGCAGCAGGACCTGCCCCTTGGGCGAGGTTACTGCCCACCCTGCACAGGGAGAGCCTTGGGCTCATAACACCGACAGACAGGGACAGTCTGAATGTCCCTGCCTGCCTGATGATCTGCCTTGCTCAACAGCTCTCTGAAGCTGAGGGCTGGTTTTTGCTTCATCATCAACTTTCAGGTCAGTTTCATATTTGTGCAGTGACCTTCTCTAGCAGACACCAGAGTAAGATAACATTGGAAACTGCTATTCCAGCTTCTCACAACAGGTACTAACCTACATTTTGAGATCTTATATATCTGGTCTAATATACTGAGTTTTGCACAGAATTCCTCAAACCTTAATTTGAAGAACAGATTGCACACTGGAACAGATTGCCCAGAGAGGTTGTGGAGTCTCCCTCACCGGAGATATTCAAGAACCATCTGGACACATCCTGTGCTTAAGTGAGGGGGTTGGACCAGATGACCCACTGTGGTCCTTTCCAGCCTGACCCATTCTGTGATTCTGTGATTGTACAGGCCTCTTCCTCTCTTAGAAGGGCAAGATGAAAATATGATGCTCCTTTGTTGTTGTTGAGGGAAGACAAGTAGTGTTTGTCAGTATGCCACAGGTCAGCTCAACATAAGGATAACTCAGCTAATTTTCACTAACATTAAGAAATTTAACAATAGGGGCATCATTATTTATTATGTTCTTCTAAGGCTGGAATCAGTAGCTGGGGGAAAATCTCATGGATTTATTTGTGTCGAGGACCATGAATTTTGCCACAGAGCTATGTTGCATGATACACACTGGCCAGGATACAGCTGTAATCATGTTATTTTGAGTAGCAGCTGATTTGCATGTCTCAGCTCCAGTTCTCAGCAGGTGTGGACAGTGTTTTATCATAATCGTTACAGATTTTTTAGCATTTTTTTTAAACATTTTTCAAACCATTTCAGAAAGTCCTCATCCTTCAGGGGAAAGACAAACATAGATGCGTGATTTCATCATATGTGTCTCTATATTTTAGTAAAAAAAAAAATACCACCACCAAACCAAAAATATCTCAAACCAGCCATAGAACCAGGTATAAAAATACATGATATCCACTGTGCTCAGCAGTAACCAAAATAGTCTTCCATCAAATAGGGAAACTGAAATAGCAAGCTCTTGAAGTCATCTCTCAGGAGACATTTTCCCAGGCGCTTCATGCAGTCATCCTACTCAGGTAATAACATTGAAGTCCAAATGTTGGTTACAAAATTTTTGTTCTGTCAAATAAAATAAAAATAAGCACTCCCCTTACTTCTGGTGGGACAGAAGAGAGGAAGATGAAGTGGGAATTCCCCAGTGAATTCAGAAGGCTAGTCTGTATGTGTGATCTGTACATGCTGTAAATGGGTGTGCTGTGTTAGATATAGTTCATGCAGGAACTGAAGGTACCTTGAAAAGACCTGACCTGTTGGACTGCTGAGAATCTGAGAGTGTTTGGACTGCAAAGAACAGTGATAGGTTTAAGTTTTCAAGTAAGGCTCATCAACCTTCTCCCAGGTTCAGATATCCTCCCAGCTGTGTTTCTCCAAAAATATGGCCTGACATAACTAGAAAGTTTAAGATGAGTAGAGAACTACAGAAATTCACTTTCCTTTTTTTAATGGTCACCTTGTGGGAAAGTGCTGATGTAGGGAATGTCCTTTGCACCCAGTTAATTTACAACAGAGCCAACAACATGAAAATGAAACTGAGGGTTTTGCTAGCACTTCTGAGAAATACTGATTGCTGTCTATAATTTAACTTTTCATTCCTCAGGAAGAAACTAATTGCACAAAAAGGGAGTGGAGGAAGTGCATAGGTCAGAAGACTGACGAGGTCTATAGAGATAATGTTTGACCCCCGTTGGAGAAAAAACATTCTGTTATTTAGACTTGACATAGGCACTAAACTGTCAAAACACAGGCAGGTTTAGGTGTACAGTGGGCAGAAATGTAAGTGTCCAGGAACTTTTACCATGGAAACATTAGAGGGGGAATTCAGAGGATATAAAATCTGGGCTTTGGGGCCCCACAAGAATATTTAAATACTTAAAACTCACCTTGTGGATCCAGATTGTTAAAGGTTTGAATACTTTTGAGTACAGTCAGTTTCATTTTTGTTTTTCATTGCATCTGGTAGGTTGTTATGAGAACCATGTGGTTATGCTGGGCAAAACAAAAAGGTTCCCTTTCATGCTTGTTCCTTCTTACCCCTCTTCCCCTGTTTCCCCATTTCTTAGCAATGCTTTGTCCTGATTTGCAGGTGTTCAGCTTACAGATTTTTGTACATATGTGTATTTGTGCTTTACTACACTGCTCTGTAGCATTTGAATTACGGTATGGAACTAGGAGTTTAAAGGTTACAAGATAAGCAAGTGTTACTGTAGGGTGCTATTTCTTGAAAAGAGATAAGGTTGCTATCTTAAGACTGGGAGAAAGTACATGAGATTTTAAAGTGGGTGAAAGTATCACTGATAGGTAGCAAAGGTCAGCAGCGGAGAGTGGAGCCCTCATTTTAGATTTTAGATTTCAGTTACTTTGAGATATGAAGCTCAGAGCTAGAGTCACTGAAATCTTAATTCTTCTGAGGAACTCAAGTGCTGTACTACCCATACAAATTAATGATCTCATTTGTCTCCCCAACCATAAAGCAGAAATAATACTATTTTTTCATTCATTACTG